CCACAGTACCCCCCCCCCCCTCTATCATTTCCCTAGCATCCTACCTATCCCCCCCCCCATCTCTCCCATACATCTCCCGATTTCCCTTTCTTTACAAGTGGAAGATTTCCTCAACACTAAAGCGTGTCTGGGCAATTGTTCATTAACATTTTGTATCAAAATTTCGCATCAAAATTTTGAAATAAAAAGTTTTTTATAAAAAATTTTGACGCTTTTTTTTTGGGGGGGGGGGGTTAGTAGAGGTTTTACGGCGCTCGCAACTGCATAAAGTCATATGAGCACCAGAAGATAGAGGTGTTACAAGAGAGTAACAAACATAGGAAAAGAAGGGGAGACAAGGATGATAGATGTTTGACGATAGGAAAGAAGGAGCAAACCACACCAGAGCACCCGCCAACCATCCACACGCTTTTTTTTTGGAACGAGTATGGGCCCGCCCTTTTACTTACGGATCGTGGAGTCTGGTCTGGAGGTTGGGCCTCGGACCTGCAGTGTGGACGCCTCTGAAAGGGAAAGAGGATGATAATAGTGTTATTATTGTCTGTCTGTTTGTCTGTTTGTTTGTTTGTCTGTTTGTTTGTTGTTGTTTTTGTCTGTTAATGTGGACGCTTCTGAAAGACAAAGAGGATGATAATAGTATTATTATTGTCTGTCTGTTTGTCTGTTTGTCTGTCTGTTTGTTTGTTGTTGTTTTTGTCTGTTAGTGTGGACGCTTCTGAAAGAGAAAGAGAATGATAATAGTATTATTATTGTCTGTCTGTTTGTCTGTTTGTCTGTCTGTTTGTTTGTTGTTGTTTTTGTCTGTTAGTGTGGACGCTTCTGAAAGAGAAAGAGAATGATAATAATATTGTCTGTCTATTTGTTTGTTCGTTTGTTTGTTACTGTTGTTTTGTTTTAAAACAGTGTGGACGCTTCTGAAAGACAAAGGGAAGGATGATAATGATAATTATTATTGTCTGTTTGTTTGTCTGTCTGTTTGTCTGTTTGTTACTTTGTTTGTCGCTTCTGAAAGACAAAAAGAATGATGAAAATAATCTGTTCCTTTGTCTGTTTGTTGGTCTGTTTGCTTGTGACTTCTTAAAGAGAAAGAGAATGATGACAATATTGTCTGTTTGTCTGTTTGTTTTGGACTGTTGTTTTGTTTGAGAATAGTATTTTTGCTTCTGAAAGACAAAGAAAATGATAATAATATTGTCTGTTTGTTTGTCTGTTTGTTTGTCTGTTTGTTTGTCTGTTTGTTTGTCTGGGCCCCTGACTCTTTCTTCAGCCTTTCTTCTCTTACTCTCTGGCTCTTTCTTACTGCTGTCTTTCAGCCACACCCCTGATCTTCTTATAGGAAAGATCTAAACCTAGCCTTCTCGGACAAGGGCGAAAAATCTCGGAGGTCCCGTGTGCAAGTTGCCAACATTAAAGATCCCTTGGTGGTCTAAAATCGATAACAGTTGGCTTCGGCCGCCGCCCGGGCAAAGTTCATAATTTCCTACCAACTGAAATGGTTTAATGTGTCCCGCGCGCTCATATGACCTTATGCAGTTGCAAGCCCCGTAAAATACTTACCACCCCCCAAAAAAAACCAAAAATTTTTTTTAAAAATTGAATTAAATTAAATTAAATTAAATTAAATTAAAAATAATAAAATTAATTAATTAATTAATTAATAAATTTGCAAAAATTACAACAACAACAAAAAAATATAAAAAATAAAAAAACAAAAAAACCACAGAAAAGAAGGAGGAGAAATAAGATCGATCTAGAGATTTGTTAGGAAAGAAGGAGCAAAGCACACCAGAGCACTGCTGGGGTTTACTTAAAAATAACTTGTATCAGATATATTCAATGACATCTTTTGCGCAGGTTTTTGTGTTATTAAATTATAATGCACTTGTTAATATATTTTAGGACCAGAGTAAGAGAGAGGGGATGAGTGGGTACGTAAGAGAGAGAGAGAGAGAGAGAGAGAGAGAGAGAGAGAGAGAGAGAGAGAGAGAGAGAGAAAGAGAGAAAGAGAGAAAGAGAGAGAGTGGGAAAAGAGAGAGAGAGAGAGAGAGAGAGAGAGAGAAAGAGAGAAAGAGAGAAAGAGAGAGAGTGGGAAAAGAGAGAGAGAGAGAGAGAGAGAGAGAGAGAGAGAGAGAGAGAGAGAGAGAGAGAGAGAGAGATTTTGGGGGGGGGGGGGCGAATTTGAGACCGTGGGGGGGGGGGGGGGGGGGTGGGGTAAATAAAAAAAAAACAAAACCCGGGAGCCACTTTCCCCAAACGCCACATAAAAATCTTTTTTATTCTCTAAAGAAACAACCCCCGTGGAAAAGAAAAAGGGGGAGTGGGGGCACACATCTCCCCCAGCATTTTTTCCCCCCCCCACACCCCCCGCGGGGTGGGGAAAAAAAAAAAAGTGTCCGGCGAAAAAACACACTACACTTTGGGCCCGCGAGAAATTTTGGGTGAGGCGCCCGGGGGGGAAAAACAAACCTCTCCCCCCCAGAAATACAAAACAGTGTGAGAACAACTGGCTTGTTTTTCCCGCGCAGAATTGATGGGAGTTTTTTTTCAGAATGTTCTCTTTTTTTTTTACGGCCCACCGCTCTTTTTTTGCCCCCACTTAAAAGAACCTATCTCTTCCTTTTGTGGGGGAGGTTTCTTCTTTCAGA